GGGCTGAGAGAGCTCTTTCCAGAACTGCCCTTGAGAGAACAGCTCTGACGGAACTATGGCTTGCCCAAGGTCATCCAGCAGGTGCAAGTGGAGGAGTGGGGAATCAAACCCGGTTCTCCCAGATTAGAGTCCACGCACTTAACCACTACACCAAACCGGCTCTCATGGTTCCAAGAGAGCACAGCATGTCTTCTCTCTTGCTGTGTGCAGAGAGAGAGTTCATCTTCATCTCAGAGAGAGAACAGAAGGAAGGGGAATAGTCCCTGAGAACACAATCTGCATTTCAAAGGGGACAGTGGCATAAGGGTAAACACAGGAAGAAAGGTCAGCGTGCCTATCTAGCTATCTAGTCTCTCCTGCCACTGAGTCTGGAGGTCTGAGACACAGGGACATTGCACCTGGAACATCCAGAGACCCAGTTTGGTGCAGTGGTTAAGTGTGTGGAGTCTAATCTGAGAGAACTGGGTTTGATTCCCCACTCCTCCACTTGCACTTGCTGGATGACCTTGGGCAAGCCGTAGTTCTGATAAGAGCTGTCCTTGAAAAAGAGCAGTTTCTGTCAGAGCTCTCTCAGCCCCACCTACCTCACAGGGTGTCTTGTGGGGAGGGGAAGGGAGAGGAGTTTGTAAGCCGCTCTGAGACTCCTTTGGGTAGTGAAGGGCGGGGTATAAATCCAATCTCTTCTCTTCTTCTTCTTCATCGTGCGGTGGCGGGCTGTGCCCACAGCTTCGAAGGACTGCGTGATTTGCGCAACGGTGGGTCAAATCCCTCCAGAGGAAATAGCCTCGCTTTCCTTCCGCTTCATCTGGCACGCGTGGCCCCAACCATAGAGGCTTCTCTGGGTCACCTGCCGCCACTGTTGTTTTGTTTTGTTATACATTTTATAGCTTTCCGTTTTGGGGGCTTGCAGTTAAAAAAGATAAACGAGTTCAAAAAGAACAGAGACCAGAATCTTTTTTTATGTAAGTTGTTTGTGTTCTTTTTAAATCCGCCCATGCTTATTGGTATTTCCCCACAGGTAGCTAAATCCTACGGGAACATTTACACTTTGTGGTTTGGACGGTACCCTGTGGTTGTCTTAAACGGGTTCCAAGCAGTGAAGGATGGTCTCACCACCCGCCCAGAAGACCTCGCAGGCCGCCCGCTGTCCCCTTTCTTCCATGCTATGGCCAATAACAAGGGTAAGAGAATCCTTATGGCCCGGCAGGGCTCTTTTTGTAGAAAAAGCCCTGTAGGGACTCATTAGTATAATAGACCACACCCAACCACAGGAACTCATTAGCATATCAGGCCACACCCATGGCAGCACAGCTCATTAGCATATTAGGCCGCACCCCCATGTTACCAGAAGTGTGGTCATCCAGCCACACCCACCTTTTGCTTCTTATTCTGTTTACCTTGTTTGTGGTCAAAACCCAGGGCTTTTTTTGGAGCAGGAACTCCTTTGCATGTTAGGCCACACACCCCTAATGTAGCCAATCCTAATGAGTTCCTGCTGTTGGGTGTGGCCTGTTATGCTAATGAGTTCCTGCTGGGCGTGGCCAACTTGGGAGCCAGCCGGAACTCCGTTCCTGTGCGTTCCTGCCCCAAAATAGCCCTGCTTATGGGAACCGCATGATCATTTGGGACGTCTGTTCTTATAGGTCGTGTGTAAAGCATCATCAAGCTGCAGTCAATTTATGGCAACCCCATCAGGTTTTCAAGGCAAGAGACGAAGAGGAGGTGGCTTGTCATTGCCCGCCTCTGCATAGTGACGCTGGGATTCCTTGGTGGTCTCCCATCCAAGTACTAACTAGGACGTTTTCCATACAGACAGGTCTCCTCACTCCTGCCTTTGTATTCCTCCACCGCTTTCTTTCGTTTCCGCAGAGGTATTTGCAGTCCGAGGAGCAAAAACACAGTTTGCTCTCTCTTGTAGCACAGCAAGGGAATTCCCGGAAACAGGGAAGTCTGATGCTGTGCCGCAAGAGGGAATGAACTGCGTTTTTGGACCTCAGACTGCAAATGCCTCTGCGGAAATGAGTGAAAGAGGCAGAGGAATGTAACTGCGAGAGCGGGGAGACCTGTTTGTGCGGGAAATGTCTAGGGCCGACCCCGCTTAGCTTCTGAGACCTGACGAGATCATATAGATAGGAAGCTTTTATAGTGCAGGGCCCAAGGCTGTTACAAATCAGGACACCCAAAAGGGAACAAGGACACATAGCATTAAAAACAGTAACATCATCAAATTAAAAACACATAAATACGCATCTTTTAAAAAAAACCACATAAGCACGATTCACAAAGCTACTCGGACCAATTGTTAAGGATTGTGGTCTATACTACTGTGTATAGTTTGCTGTAAGTTGGATCCTGCTATGTAATTTTGCATCAGTTCATGAGTCATGTCAACACTTAGGTGAATTGCACGTAAAAACAGAACACGGCTTGTCCACCAAGCAAACAGATCTACCCAGGGGTCATTTAGTAGAAAAAGAGGTGCAGGAGCTCATTAGCATAACCTATTAGCATAACTTATTTGCATATGCCACAAACCCTGACATCACCAGAAGTGTGTCAGAAGGCAACACCCACTGCTCAGGCTCCACCGGACTGTTTTGGATTGCTAGCTATGGGGTGGGAAAGTGCAGATCTGCCCTCACAGGGCTGCTGGGAGCAGGGGGCGGGGCTTGTTGCATGTGCCCACCCCCTGGGCTCTTTACTGCCGGAGCGCTGCTCCTGTGTGCTCCTGCAGGAAATGACCCCTGGATCTACCACATTCATTGTGAAAGCAGATTAAAACTGTTGATTAAAATACAGTTGAATACAGAAGAAGAAGACCCCAAAAGGGAGCCAGAAGCAGAATTAATCCTTTAGTAATGGCCTTACCTCCTCATATGCTGACAATGCTCTGTCTGCATGACCTGCTGCTGCGGCTGCATGGTGTAGTGTAGTGTAGTGTAGTGATTAGGTGTACAGTCCATAGTCCAGCACTGGGCACTTTCCTCAGGACCACAGCTCCTCTGTCCATTACCCCGGCACATGCTCTTCACAGTCCAGCAAGGCAGTGATATTAAAAGAGCCTTTAAGAGTGCCATCGGAAGTGGCTTTATGACAACAGTCGGTCACAAGTTCTTTCAGAGCTGTTCTCTCAAGAGCAGTTCTCGAAAGAGCTCTCTCAGCTGCACCTACCTCGCAGGGTGTCTGCGTTGGAGAAGGGAAAGGGATTGTAAGCCGCTCTGAGAATGGCGGGGTATAAATCCAATCTCTTCTTCTCCTCCTCCCTCTCCTCCTCCTCCTCCTCCTCCTCCTCCTCCTCCTCCTCCTTCT